ACACAGAATATGCTTTGATATATGTCACATTTTAAAATTGAATTTTTTTTAAATTTTGAATTTTTTTTAAATTGAATTTTTTTTAAAATTGAACAACTTCGGCAAATGCATCTGGCTGCCAGATTGATAAAAAAAAACTTGAGTTGCAAAACACTTTTTATCAAATGCATACGATTTTTTATGGGTAGAGCCATTATTTTAGATACTCGAATACAAATTCTGTCATTACTCTTAATGGTTGGAATGTATAAAGAAGTTAATTCGAAAACTGCGAACGTGGTTTTAAGGTGACCATTATTATAAACGTGATAATGGTCACGGTTTCGTGGATAAAGCTCTAAATGGCATTCTTGTGTTTATTAGTGGATTTGGAGCTTTGTATAATTTTGCCATAACATAACTATAATAATTGGTAAGTCTGAGTGTGTGTGAATTCATATGATGGGATTATAAAATGAGTACAATTTGAATGTAAATTTTGAAAATTAGTTTAGTTAAAATAATATATGAAATTGAAATTCATTTACATAGTTTATAAGTTATTACTGGTACATTTACATAAATGGAGTAGTGATTAATATTTAATTTTAGGTGATTATTTAAATATAATAATGTGTACATGTAAATGTAGTGGCAGTGTGTCATAACATATATATATATATATATATATATATATATATATATATACATAAGATATTTTAATAATATTAATGAACATAATCGCCAGCAATATATAACAAATAATACAAGATAAACGTTAATCCCTTCATTCATAAACAAGTGATTCCAAGTTAATATGATTTTAAAACAGTTCTTTATTAGGCGTATAAAAATGTCTATCTCTATCACTGGACATATCTCTGTCCATTTGAATGCCGCAAACAAATTCCTTCGTAAAATCCCTAACATTTTTCATAAAATATCCATAATATATTTCAAAGCCTCTAAACCAGAATATTTTCATAAGCCATGTATACAAAACCCTACATTGTTAGAATTGAATTTAAAGATCTGAAAAGGCTCAGGCCTCTATCTATATCCATAAAACAGAATCAAATAAGAGGGTTTAGAAGAGAACGGCAATAAATTCAGTAGAACGGTCAAGTGGATAATTTTAGTGACCGCTAAATGGCGTAGTATTGTGTGTTTCGGGGCACGGTATGGTTTTATGTTTCCTTGCACCCCGGATGGAGGGCGCAAGCGGGAGGTCGTAAATCAAGTCAGGCCGCGATACAAATAGCTAACTCGGACCATGCGGACAGATAAAGTAATAGATGCCGCACAACACGGACTCGTTTCGCTGCTGTCTGTTTCAATTTTAAATCTCGTGCTTTAATTTTGCCTCCACTAATTTCATTTCATCGGCGAAAGAAAAGATAAAATACAATATAAAACTTGCTATATCCTACTTTTCGCAACGGATTTCTCGCTAAGTAAAAGTCTCTTGAAGGTTTCAAGAGTGGATGCATAATACGATTGCATCTTTAATATATTTTCAAGTGTCGTTATGCTGATGGCAATGGCAATAGTCATTTCAGAAACGGTTTTGCGTATTGTTTCATTTCTACTTATTTTGAAAGTATTTTTGAAGCAATTCTTTTCAACTAAGTTTTATACATAATCTATAGTACTGCTTCAATTATTCACGCTCATGTAGACATTTCATTTTTATAAAACATTCTTGATTAGGTTTTGAGCTCACTTGTGAGATCTGGCATTCTCAAAAAAACTCAAATTGTTTTGTGATCATTTTAAAACAACAGTCTCGAGCAATAAAATTAATTAAACTGGTTTAATATATAATATAACACATTAATATTATAAAGTTTTGGGTTTTATTAGTTAATTCAAATCTCAAATATTAAAATTATTGATAATACCTATATAATAAAATATTACGTTGTATTTCAAATAAAACATTACAAACCTGAAGATTTGATATATTTTGATGCTAAAGTTTTAATTAATATAAGTGTAAGTAATTAAAATATATAATAAATATCATGACGATGCATATGCATTTGTGTTCAATAAGATAATTTTATGAACCATGAAATATGCTTAAGACATTTATCATATTTTTTATTATTTTCGTACGTAAAATTTTACAACTAATTAACAACTAAGTAATTGCAATAAAAACTAACTCAGAAATATTCTGCTTTAGTGCTAAGACATTTTCTTATATTTAAAATTTACGGTACTTTGATATAGCAAAGTAAATTTCTAATTTAATTCTATAAAGTTTTCTAAAATAGTTTCATTAGCATTTTTAATATTCTTTTGTTAAAGTTGGATCTCTATGAACACGCATTCAGGTTTTGAAATATTACTACTAAAAATTTAATAATCGAGATAATGAGTGACACAATATTTTAACCTAACAAAAAAAATTATAATAAAAATTGCATTAGATTTGTTAAGAACGATAAGACCAGTAGCTTAAAAATATCAAGTGGAAATTATGTTTAATTAAAATTAAAAATTATTTTAATATGCTGAGATTTTATAACTCGATCTTAAATATTTGTTTTGTCAATGTCACATGTGAGCATATGACATGTTATATGAAATGAAAAATTTTGAGCCATGACAAAAATTTAGTATATGCCTATCAATGTTTTACAAGACATCTGTGTTAAAATAAATTTAGTTTTATTTTGCCATGCAATCAATTTCTACATCAAAAGTAGAACTTTTCTATATTTTAATTATAATTTCAATTATCATTAACAAGGCAAATCTTAGCGACTAATCTCATTTGTAAAGATACACGAGATATCCTTTTATCCATCTTAATTTGTTCTTAGTTCCATGTTCTTACAGTCTGCTAATACTCTGTCGTTTCGCACATTTCTACCAGGAGATTTAATGAAAGGTTGAGTTATGCCCTCAGCTCTGTAGGTACTTATAGATAGTAAAGCTGATAGATTACAAGTGTATCGATCTGCTATTATACATCGCACGAACTGTAAGCACGAATATTGTTGCTATAACGAGAATTTAATATTTTCCGGTTATGTACGATATGAAATTGTAAATATAAATATTGGTTGGAGTGAATAATAGTATTTGAAATTATTGTCCTACCATTTAAGTGCTCAATGTATTTTATTGTGATTCAACAAATATCTTGGCACCTTTGTTTTTGAGTTTTTCACAAGTATCAAAAGTTTATACCGATCTACAATAATTTCATACTTCCTATTAAAGTTGAGATATCAAAAAACTAAATGACCAAAATTTCTCGCCAGTTCTAATACTCTAAAATATACGAATTCTCGCAACAATAAAATTCTTATTTATAAAACATCATTTTTCAATTAATCTTATGAAAAATTAAGTAATATCATTCCAGGTAGATTACGAAAACATTTTTACATGACTGTACGTCAATACATGGTCTTAGCGGCTTAGTTACGGTGGAGACGCCGGTATATTAGAGCAACTATGTTATTTAAAAATCATAATTTTCCCTAATATTTACTGCATAAAAAGGCTTTAAAAATTCATGTATGTTATCACGGGGCTACAAATTTCTAATAGTAACTGCCATTTTAATAAATCTTTTATATTTTTACATAATATAAGTTAATTATTTGAGTAAATACTACCCACTTCTATAAAAGACATTATATTCTTTCTGAGTATATTCTGCATATGGTTTCAGTTCATTATTCATAATACTCGTGAAAACTTCAAAAGAATAAAAACCAGTTTATGATATTTGCATATGAATACTAAAAAGGAGGCTTAAAGAGAAAGATTTCACCAACCCATTAAATTCCAAAACCACTCATGTACACAACTCGAAACCATCATTACGTACCCTTATAATGCGATTTTGTACATAAAGAAAAATCTCTCTGGGTTGACTTTGAAATGGTCGGATGCGAATATTGATTTTAACTTATTAAACATAATATCGTTTCAGTTTGTGTGATGGTATTACCTGAGAATTTTCTAGAGCAACAAAGTAATTTAGTTTTTACTAACGTAGTAGGAATGAAGAAAGCAATCGATACATTAGAAAACTGTAATGTCTTTACGCAAGGCCCACCGCAAAATATAAAATATTTATAAGAACGCCGTAGCAGATTTTTAAGGATTAATTAGTTTTTATATGATCGATTTATCTATCAATATAAAACTCAATTTTCTAGTGAAAACATTATTAATATAACAACTGTTAGCCCTTTCATATTTCATAAAAACAAAAGTTTTCAGCAAGGTCGTTTTGCTTAAATATTTATTATTAATCAACTATCACTATAGGTGCAAGGATGATTTCAACTAAATTACGGTTGAATCACTGAAGTTATTACTTCATTACTTTTATCTTTATATGCAATCACTTTTATGATTATATCCAGGAAATTCTAGTAGAACGGAGTAATATAGTTAGTGCAAAGAAACGTTAGGACCTTATGAGAGTATGATGACACCGAAAGCTCTTTGCTAGATTAAAATTATTCTCACATATAATAGATGATAATCAATATGTATGATTTTTTTAAAAATTATTATGCATTTTAAATTAAGGTTTTTTGTACAGATAATGAACTAATGAACTAACGCGACATAACAAATAGATTGACTTTTAAAATATTGATTTTAATCATTAAATTTATCAAATCTATTTATTTAAAAAAAATAACGAAAAAGCAAATCATTTCCGACGTATTATTAAATATTATTACCAACAAAGCGCTCGTAGACGATTTTTGTCGTATGTCGTATGTACTCAATTTAATACAGATCTATATCTAATACAGGATTGTACTGGTTTACAGCTTTTAGTAAAATAATAAAAATTCTAATAAAATTGTATCAATTCAAGAGGCAGAGTGAAGTGGTTACACGTTTGGTCTTGCATCCAAAAGGTTTTGAGAACAAGCCCTGCGTAACCTACGAGTACTCAAATGATTGCATTGCCTAATCATTAAGATAAAACCTTACATTTTCAAATTTTCCTTATTCGTTTTAACGTGCATTTCCAGGTTTCATGGGTGAGGCATCGAGACATCCATCTCCTGACTGTGGGGAGGTACACGTACACTTCAGATCAGCGTTTCGAAACGAAACATTCGCCTCACAGCGAAGACTGGCTGCTGTACATTCGCTATCCGCAGAAACACGACACAGGCGTCTACGAGTGCCAGATATCAAGTACGCCTCCCATCGGGCACAAGGTGTATCTCGGCGTAGTTGGTGAGTCAACGACATAGTTTTTAAATCAACAGACAACTTAGAAATCACTCTATTTGTTTTATGACTTCATTTGAACATAAAAGGGAATCAAACAATAAATCAATTATAGAGAAATAAAGAAATGTTATGATTTAACATATTTTCAATTGTCTATCTTTGAGCAAATTGAAAATTTTAATGAATGGGCTTATGCTTTCTAAGCACAATCTGAGTGATTTTTTCTGTTATTATTATGTCCGTTCTAAACATATGGTTGTGATCACTGAAAGTAATCAGTGACACTAGATTAGTAGAAATACATTTTCGCAAGCTTGATGTCTGTTTTATAAGCGTTCCTGAAATAAAATTCAAATAATTAAATTTTCAACCTTCTCTAAATAGGGTTAAAAAAGCTATTCAATTGAAATTCAATCTTTATATTCAAAGATATACTTCTACAAATTCTCTATTTCAAAATACGTAATAAACGTTTTTTTGTATCTACGGGAACTAATGATAATAAATGATAACAAAATCTAAATATTCAAATTTGTATTCTATATTTATCATGTTGTTCTACATTTACAAATGTTATACAAACCAAATACATTAATTTCACTAGTTGGTTCCTAGGCAAAAACATACGTATAATCAGTAAGAGGCTGTTTCTTGCAAACTAATTTATCAAACAAGACAAGATTTCTGCGACGAGCTAGTATAACATATCACATTTGCTTATGTGTTCTAGATTTAAACAACCTGGTAATAATATAATGTGTATTAAAATTGTTTTTATTACACATGGTTTTATATATTATTTATTAACTCGTAAAATTAATTTCTGTTTGATAAAGTTATATATTGGTATTGCCGTTCAGTATACGATTAATTCACGAACCAACATGTATTGTCAAAGCATTTTCGTGAAAGAACAAAGACGTTTAGCACAAAAAGGCAGTTCCACTTGATCGTTATTTAGACAGACATGACATCGTGAATTGAGTTAAATCGACTCCCACATTATCATGTTGTGTCTAAATATCTATTCTCCTTTGAATAGACGCTGAATATTGTATGCGCGTCCAATTTATTGTGTTTGTCAAACAACTTTAACAATCTCGGATATTCTGAACATGTATTCTAATTTGTATGATAATGATATAAATTTATTTTAGTACGTATGCATCACACGCTGGAAGTTGCAAATTATATTTAACAATTAGTGACCAAGTAAAATTAGTGGAATAATCTAGGTCGAAACAAATACGATAATATTAAACTAAGTGAGTACGTTTTTATTGTATTAACATATCAAGAGGTCAATCAAATATTTATAATTACATCAAATACTAAAATTGATAAGTTCCCTTATAATTTTGTTATAAGTATAAAATTTTATAAAGTATACAATAAATATACAATTTTTATAAAGTTATAAATAGATAATTAAGCTTGCAGCAATGTATTAAGTAGAACAATACTGCTAAGTTATTTATATAAATTATGCGTTTTAGTAATTTATGTATGTGTTGAGTACAATTATGTCATCTTCTCATAAGGTAGACGTGTTGAAACTATTCGCAGGTAGTTTCATGATGAGCAGGCAGTTGAATCTAATTATAGTTATCAATTTTCGTATTATACATTAGATTTCACTTACGTGCCAGAGCATTGTTTGTAGGTGCTGAGATGAAAGCTTCTTGAAGGGATATGTTATGCATTTTGATGGAACTTACTATGTAATTGAAAACATTAGATAAGGCTTCGTACTATGTTTTAATATCATCACGTACAACTTCTTGTTTAAGAGACGATTTTCATGCCCTCGGGTTGCGAAATAAACGATCAAAGGCAACTAAGATATACTACATATTGCTAATGCCCGATTATAGCAATTTGCACCTGCGCAACTTAAAATCCGCCAACGGGATAAAGATTCGCGTACATTAAATATTCATGAGAAGATTTCCGCTAGGATTTCGAAAAGTGAACATAAGTCTTTTGTTATTACAAATCATTATTTCGATAGTCTTTTCAGTGAAGTTCCTCTTCCATGACTTGAACTTCTTTTCGAAGTTTCCTATATATCTGGCGTAATTTGCAAAACAGCCCGGAGTGAAAATGAACTATATCCCAATACACTTTATCAAGAAATTCTCTGTATTCTCCAGAGAGTTCTCTCTCTCTGAACTTTTCCATGCTTGATCGGTCGAAAGAATTCGTACTTTTTTCTACTCGCATAAATTGTCTTGTGTAACGATCTTCCTTGTATACAAAATTGCAAACATTAGTACTTTTGTTGCCATGTAAGACTAAACCTTTTCAAGGTTCCAACAATGTAATACGATCTATATAAAGGAACTGCCGTTCCTCGATAAATCCGAGTTGATTTACTTCAGAGCTGATATTAGATGTGGTCCAGAGCTCACAACAGAAAGGAGCGATCCATTTGCAAGTTCCATAAATTTATATGTACATTTTATTTATTCTATTTAATATTGTCAAGTTTTATCACATCTCTTAACGTCAATAAAAAAGTCTTAATGTTTATTCTAACAATTTTACATCAACTTCTAATTATAGACAACGCAGTATTCAACCATATTATTAAGTTTCATAATATTCTATAAAGTCTCGTCTTATCCGGTTAAATATACCTTCCAATTAATTTACACTCACATTATAATAATTTAAGAATGTTTCAATCATCTAATATGTATCTCCATTATTCGCATTTGAAATATTCTACAGATTTTCTTATAATTCAATTTTACTTTATAACAATTTCAAATCGAAATGATCAAATGCCCAATATTATCTCACACTACCATAAAATTTACATAATCTTTTGAGAACATCTGGCAACGTCATTAAAAACTCGTGATGCATGAGTTTCATATTGAAAAGTTATAAACATTTAAAACTTTGAAGAAATTTTACATACGCCGTAGGAGATTATGTTTTCTCGAGTATTGCCAATTTTAAATGTAATTACAAAAGTCTTTATAAAATTTTATTGCGTTTTATCTATTTTAGAACACAATTTTATTGAATGTTTATTTAGATTTATTATATCTAAATTCATATCATAGATAAGTATTTAATAATAATGATGCACAGACGAATCAATGTTGTCAATGTAAATTAAACAAGAAACACAAATTATAATAATGTTCGATAACTTTTCTTGATGATTTTACAAGTTAAATAATTCAGTAGATTGTTTGCAAACCAGGAAATGAAACGATAACATAAATTCATTAAATTTCTGTTAAATGCTAATTTTCTTCACATTAATTAGCATTCAAAACATTTATTTTGCCAAACTCCGAAATAATCTTAATAATTATCTTCAACATCTTCGAAGAACTTTTTAAAACCTGTTCATATCGTAACAAAGTTAAATGATCATGTTTTTCCATAAAATAATTCGCCTTAAAATCCGCGATCCCAGATTTGGGAAAAATAACGCCTCGCCTTATTTAATTTTCTCGAGGCGTTCGTATACTTCGCCACACCCTCGTCGAAAGACAAATAAATTAACTTAAATTAGTGCTGTTATCTTACACTCTGATGGTATTTAGTGGCTCCCCGAGAAGGGACTTAGACCCTCACGTTAATCACCCGTGCGTCTAAGGATGAAGACACATTTAACGGTTTTCAGCAACGGCAGTTTGTCTTTATATAGAAAAGATCAGAATAAATATAAATATTACCCTCGGCTATTGCTAATTTATTCCCAAAAATAATGATCAATCGCTGAAAATAACGTTCCCATTCGTTTAATTACTTTCTAAAAATAACAAGGAAAAAATAGATATTATTTCTCTTCAGATTTAATTAGAAAATATAATATCATTATATGACATTTTCTTCGGAGAGTCATTAGGTGGGATATGAGTCAAAATAATGCCGAAAATAGATAACCAGATATTGTGATCAATGACAGAAAAAATTCACTCCGTGATAAGAAAGAAGTAAGATGAAATCCAAATTTATCAT